TCGAAGAGTCACTTTATTATGCTTCGTTGTGCAACCATATTATCTTTAATCGTGGTACGTAACAATATACAGTTAAAAATGTAGAAATTCCACCGTCACTTTAAATAGTAAATAAATAAAATTATTAGTTATAATATAATTTGATACAGTAAAATAAATAATATATCACAGTCCTTTTAACTCGTAAATAAATACATCAAAAAAACTCTAATTGTTTATAGTTGATACATTTAAACATATAGGTTTAACATTATTATTTATACTATGTATATAAAAAAAAATACCTACAATTTCATTTTAAGGCAATATTATTTGCTATACCTCTTAAAAATATCATTTTATTTTGCCCATCATAATTGTTTACTAATTTTTTATTCTTTTATACCTATGTGTCATGAAATTTTTTCAACTTCCTTGGAGGACTATTTCACGACATAAGATTTTTAAGTACGTATCACGTCCGGCTTGAATTTTTTTGAGATTCCCAATGAAGGTCCATATCGTTGGATGAGTGCCTACCATTTGAATAATATTTAATCGTCGATTTGCCGCTTCTGCATGATAGTTCGTTCTATTATTATACAGTCTGTATCGTTTAATATTTGTTGGTGAATATTCCACATCTCAGAGGGAATATATCGTGGTTTTCTTCGTCCGATATACGTCGATTTTTCTTCACAATTTAAAATTCTTCAAACCACTCAAATAATTGTAAAAGCTCATCTGGAAGTTCGTTTGCCAAATCATCTGCAGTCATATCTAAATCACAAAATGGTTTTAAACGCCAACGCGATTATGGTTTTGGTCACAACACAAAAATGTGCTTCATTATTATATTTTGACAATGTATTATGTAACTCTCCAACTTTTTCAAAAAATTTAGACTTAAATTAAAATAAATTCCAAAAATATTTATATTTTCAAATTAATTTTGTTATTGTTGTATTGGCACCAATTTAAAAATCACTTGAAACTGATGTTGGATGGAGATCAGGTTGTAATTGATTAATCATACTAAATAATTTTACATAGGTTTATCCCTTTTTGTTAGGTAGTAATGCATAAATAAATTGCACTCCCCCTAAAAATTCAGCTAAAATAACATAAACTTGGCAAAATAGAGTAGGCGCCACATTGAAAGTTCCATCCATGTACCATGTTTTCGAATCTTTTAATAACTTGAGACCAAGTATTAATATATTTCATTGCTAGGCCCAATAAAAAATCGATCATGTGGAGCAACTATTTAACTTTCCTTATACGCCGTACTTATCGTTTTAGAGCTTTAGAAGATTGTAAACCACCGAATAAATTGAAATGGTTATTTATTACTGCACTGACCGAGCAGAGACAGTATAATAGGCCATGAACCTATTATAATACTAGAAAAATAAAATATAGGCACTGTGTATACCTTTGCTGCATCTGATTGGTTAATTACATGAGACGTGGGTTCCGTTGTTAAAATAGCTCGTTGGCACATACTCATTAAAGCTCATTAATAGCTCATTAACGCTTCTATTCTAGCCACTTCAGAATCATGAAAATGTTTTTATCAGAACATTTTGAAATCATGTATACCGGTGTGTATTTGAGCAGGATAAGATAAATCTTTACGACATCGCCAAAACCGTTTAGTTTCGTCCGCACTAAATTTATCAAATATATACAGTGTGATCACGATAAGTGGAAACACTGAATAACTATGTGTAGGCTTCATATATTTCAATTCTGCTTTTTCGGCTAACTAATAAACATTATTATACACATTTTCAAATAATTAGAATATTTTGTTGACAGTTAATTTTGCGCATGTGCACAGCAGTGTTTTTTTTTTAAATTAGTATAATCCATTTTTGACCACAAATTATTTTTTTTGGTATTTTTTAATGAATTTTAGTGGTTGAATTTCTTTTCTAAGCCAAAAATTACCAAGTTATAGCAATTTTATTTTATGTTATTTGCACGGGTATTACAGATTATTATCACCAACTATGTATTTTATAATCTGTTATAGGTAGGTACCCATGCAAATAACATAAAATCAAATTGCTATAAATCGGTCATTTTTTGACTTAGAAAAGAAATTCAACCACTAAAATTCATTAAAAAATACCAAAAAAATCCCAATTATCTTTTCCACCAAATCAAAAAAGTTAATCTAGTATTTGAATAATATTTAAATATTAAATATACAATATACATATCAGTCATATTATAATACGGAATGTCCAACGGATGTCTGCAGACATTCTGACAAATGAAATAACTTTTGATCGAATCAATGTTTAATAATCGTGCCTAAGTATTTTTAATATTTTTCAACTGCTATTGAAACAATATGTTGGAAGCCCTGTATTAAATTTTCAAGCTTTTTGACGCAAACAATAATATTTTATTGACAATAATAGAAAAAAAAACTAAAAAAGTTGAAAATTAAAATGTCAGTTAACAGTTCAAATTTAATCAAAATATTTTGAAAATTTTAGCATTTATTATATATAAAATGCCTATATAAACATTAAGTGAAAATTTCAAGTATCTGCGATCACCTGTTTTAGAGTTACACCAAAATAAGGAAATCGCTAAATGAGGAATCTAGTGAAAATCAAATGTTGTAAAAATTTAAATTTCAAACACTCATAAACACTTAATTTGACTTTCTAGTGGATATTTTTTTTGTGATAAATCTTGACAAACTTGTAATAAATCTTGTATTAAATTCTTAAATCTGAGATTTGAAAAGAATGATCTATGCATTATATTCATAAATTTTTTTTCTTTTAATATTGATTAGTACAAAAGTTTTTTAATTTGCCAGATCTCTGTGGGACACTGTATTTTAATATATTAATATGACTGATTGATAATAACTACACTAACTTTTTTTATTTGGTGGAAAAGAGAATCAAACAATTTATTATTTGGCAGAAAAGAAAATTGGGGCAAAAGGGAAATGTACGCTTTTGGAAAAAACAAGAAACTCCAAAACCAACTAACCAACCTAACTACCTAACTAAAATTATAAAATTATCTGACCGGTCTACGGTCCATCCGATCATCCATATCAACTATCGCGACTCTTTTTTATCGTGTAGTAATAATAACGATAATTTATAGTAATAAAGATAACATTTCTATACCACACGCCATACGGTGAGACAATGTTACAGACATAAGTAAATTACCGTATCGCCTAAATGGTCACGCACCGAAATAAATATCGTGGAATTGACTTATCGCCGAAACGTCCATGCCGAACTGTCGGCGCCGAAACGTTCTAGATCCGAACAACATTCATTTACTTGATTTATTATTGCCATATTCTTTTAAATATTTAGAAAAAAATGTATCTGAAACAATTTGAATAAGGTTTAATTAAGTATTCATTGTTCCTTTTGTAAAAAATATACATAAATTAAAAACGTTTAAAAATTTAAAGATGATGAAGTATTTTAGGTGTTTGCACTAAGGCTGCACTCGGACAAGTAATCGTCAGTCGTCACAGAATAAGTTCGAAAAGATAATCGGTGTGTGGTCAAACCATCATCCCTACCTCACTACTCCAAAATTATTATGTAAATTGTTAGGTGATTACAAATTTTTCACTCGTGTTATTCTATATTAAATGATTTTTTATAATATTTATATTTATATTATTCGTATTATCATATTATTATCTTGTTTTGTTTTCCAAATTCAAATTCAGGTTTTTAAACATTTTCTGGAATCGCATTATTTTCGCTAAATAAAATTGATCATTTGATCATAATTACTTGTAATTATCTAAATATTTTTTAAAAATTTATTACTTCTAATGAGTAAGGGTCTTGAAAAAATTTTGAAATTTTATCGTGCTTATATAGGTACTTTAGTACTCGCTCGATGTAAACCGCGTCAAGGATATATATTATGGAGAGCACAATCTCAAACAATTGATGATGGGTAAAAGGTAACACAATTAATTTTAAATGGAAAAAATCCATTAGCGTGGTCACGACTAAAATAGATAGACAGTGTGTAAAGTGACTAAATTATTCCAATGATAAGTTTTATTAAATCATCAAGTATATGGGTCATACTATGTCAGAGAGGTCGAGTCCGAAGATATAAGAATGATAAGATGAATCCATACACGCTCGCACGTACACATATTAATCTTTCAACATGTAAGCGGATATCCATTGAAAATGTTTGGGGACGCTGCAATTATTTACATAAATTTAATATGTGCCGTATATAACAATCATTCATCCAATTAAAAAATGCTTAACTAAAAAATCATAAACAATTTTTGAAATATAACATACATTATCCATTAATTTTTTATAGTTATACCTATTTTATTTTTTTTATGTCACAATTAAAATGAAAAATTATAAACGATCGATTTATTTTTTCGAAAAATGTTGATTATTTCATAGCATTTCCATAAAAAAATGCATATTGATATAATAAAATTAATAGGAATATCAAAATCATGTATATGTGCCCAATAAAAGAGAAATATGCATAAATATTCCTAATAGGCAAAAAACCTCCAAATAGGTATGCAAAAAGATGTAAGATAAGACTCTATGTCATCTAGCATTAAATACAACTTAGCAAGATTGTTATGCAAATGCATGGACTTACGAGCCTTGCTAATAAGTATAGTAGGTTAGGTTAGGTTAGGTTATAAATTATAAAATATTGAAATATAACACTAGAAATGTATACTTACTGTTCAAAAAATGTCCCATTCTTTTTWTATATGAGGGTACATACAAGTATATTCCGTTTTCACCTGATATAAAAAGGTTAACTATATTATATATAAAACTCAGTATTTTTGTGTTTTAATATTTCAGTATAACCAACACAAACATGTGTATATATATACTTGTGTACATAAACACAATGAAAAAATAAATTATAATTTAGCCTAATGTAATTAAGTATTACTATAAAATTTAATTTTTCGTAATGGACAGAAAATCTGACTAAAATATTTCATTCAATTTTTGAAGTGTAAAAACCACATTGGTTGCACAATTTTTATCGATTTAGTATTTTGGTCATTTTGATAAAAGCACCAAAAATAATCATGCAGTAAAATACAGATAGTCGATCTCAGATCCTGACTCATGAGCTTGGAAAAACAAGTGTGGTATATACAGCAAGCTGACACAAAAACACATTAATTACCTAATCAATATACAAGAAAAACATGTGGAAGATCGAATGTCATATAATAAGAATAATTGGGATAAAAATATAAATTCAAGAAACTGACAGAGAACTAGAACGTGTCACTTGTATTATCATTTCAAGTATCTCAGAAAGAACATTAATAATAGTGCATCATCATATAATAGTTTGGCTTTAGAAAATTCAAGAACACTGTTGGTTTTTAAAAATATACATATTGATGATTACACATGAATATAGGTAATTCCAACCCTAGTGAAACACAACAAACAGGAGTAAGAGATGCAGGAGATTAGCATCGTATTATTTTTGGGAACAGGCCTTAAGTATTTTGTATAATATTGATTTTTATGTACATTATTTTTGTATCAAGAGTGATCATTTGCGGTGGATAGACACAGCATTTACAGTGAGACAGTTATTATTTGTTTTTTGGCTTTCTATGTCATGTTATCAACAGCTCGTTTGTAATCAATGAACATATTTTGGATGTTTCTAATTAGTTAAATATTAAATATTTAGTTTTATGACAAAGTTAGTCATATAAAATTAGTACGCTTTTATTTTATATTTATTAATTAACCAAAACAACATAACTATATAGCAATAGCAACAGTTTTAATAGTTCAACTTACTTCCATTCATTGCTAAATAGAATGATGCCATTTCATCTGTAAAATGTTAGATCATAAATAAAAGTGAATATTTGCATTATATGTATTATGTATAATAATATATTCTGTGGAAAGGGTGGGATGAGGGATATTTCAGTTACTGTCAACTATTATTAACGAGCTGTAGTTCAGAGATGACATTCAACCAAAATTAAATTGTTTTCCCTAATGAACTATTCATAATATTTATTGTAACGCCTTAATCACCTCTGAAAACGCGTATATCCATGTTATGATCAGAGATACTCGTTTGCGCACAGTACACAATTTCTTACCTGTAAACTGATAACTCATTTGCGTAGATTGGAAAACGTGAAACCCAGATAATACAAATTATGACCCGAAAAATGACAACTCGTTTGCGTACAGTTATTAAATTAGACTTATATTGTAACTTGCAGTGCAAATTTCGATAAAATTCACGTAATCTCAAAAGGTTTTGGTCGTAAATGTTTCAGACATTTGTATAACAAATCATATTAAATTAACAAAAAAAAAAAAACATTTTCAATCACGCCTGTTGTATGCAGACAGTCCTAAGCCTGTAAAAGTGAGAAATACAATCTTAAACATTATTTTTGTTAGTTCTTTTGAGTTTTAGTAGACTTTTTCCATAGTTTAAGTGCGCAAACGAGTCMTACGTTTTGGGTCATTTATCAAAGGTATTAAAAATTCGTGTGCGCAATTGAGTTGAACATTTGTACGCAAACGAGTCGCAAAAAAGGTTAAATGTTCGCAAACGGGTATCGCCCGATATGATACTTCAAAATGAACCGTAATAATTGCTGTTTTTGATCTAGATTTACCAAATTGTTTCATAGAACAGTGCACAGGAATTACCCACCTTGATATAAGTATGTTCGAAAAAACGTACCGAGAAAAATTACATATTGTATACCTGATTAATTGATTTGGACCTTTTTTCGACCTTTTCTAATGCTTAGCAGGATTTCTACCCTTCTATTTAGCCGTTATTAACGTTTACTTTACAATTTACATATAGTATAGTTTTCAATGCTTCAATAATCAGCATTGAAAATTTGATTATCGGCGCAAGCGTGGCAAAAAATTGTTTACTAATCCAGTATCAAAATATTAAATTACCGTACTAGTAAAAATTACTATAACCACGTTACAATGCTTGCAATGTTCTTCATTATAAATACATATTCTGTTACAAATATGTATTATTATAATTA